CTATTTCTATTTCAATTACATTATTCAAGGCATTATCCAGTAAGAAATGGAAGCAAGTCATGAAAATAAAAATGAAGGCCTTAGAGAAAAATAAGACATAAGAACTGGTAAAGTTACTTCATGAAAAAAATTTAGTTTGATGAAAATGGATTTTCACTATAAAATATAAGATGAATGGTACTATTAAAAAGTATAAAATCAGGTTGGTGGCTAAGGGCTACACTTAAACTTATTAAGTAGATTATCAATAAACTTTTGCTCTAGTTGTCAAGATGAATACGGTTAGGATTTTGTTATCATTGGCTACAAATTACAATTGATAGCTTCAACAATTTGATGTAAAGAATGCTTTTCTACATAGTGATTTGAAAGAATAAATATATGTAAAGGTTCCACTGAGATTTGAAAATCATCTAGAAGTAAATAAAGTATACAAGTTGAAAAATGCTTTTATATGGTTTTAAATAGTATTCTAGGGTTTGGTTTGTGAAATTTGTCAAAATGATGTTAGCAATGGGATATAAGCAGAGTCAAAGAGATCATATATTATTTATCAAACAGTCTGATTCAGGGAGAGTCATAGTTCTATTAATGTATGTTGATAATATAATTGTAACCGGAGATGATGAAAAAGAAAAAAAATCTCTAAAACAATGTTTGGCTAGAGAATTTTAGATAAAAGAGTTAGGGATATTGAAGTACTTTATAGGAATTGAAGTAGTTCACTCACAACATGGTATTTTCATCTCACAATAAAATATATGATGGATCTTTTGAAAGAAACTGAGAAATTCATATGTAAACCTACAAATACCCCTATATATCTTAATTATAAACTTGAAAAAGCTAATAAAAATGCTACTACATACAAAGAGATGTATCAGAGAGTAGTTGAAATACTTATTTATCTCTCACATACTAGATCTGGTATAGCATATGCTATGAGTGTGATAAATTAATTTATGCACAGTCCTAAAAAAATGCACCTACAGGTTATTTTATCGTGTATTACACTATTTGAAGGCCGATCCTATGAGAGATATCTTATACAAAAAAAAAAAATTTGAGACTAATTCTAGAGGCATATACAGATGCAGATTATGCAAGTTCAGTAACTAATGAAAGATTTATTTCAGGCTATTGTCCTCTCTTAATTGGTAATTTTATGACTTAAAAGAGTAAAAAATAGAATATTATGGCAAAATCAAATGCTGAAGCAGAGTTCAGAGTAATGACTTAAGGAATTTGTGAACTACTATAGTTAAAGATTATCTTAGAAGCTTAAAGATTAAATGGGATAGACCAATGTGACTCTACTGTAATAACGAGTCTGCAATAAGTATTGCACATAATTTTATACAACATGACAGAACAAAACATATTGAAATATACTGACATTTCATAAAAGAGAAACTAGACAGTGGGTTGATTTATACACCTTATGTATCAACCAAGGGTCAGTTTGTAGATTATTGACTAAAGGTCTCAGCAGTGCAACATTTCAAGTAATTATTTCTAAGTTGGGAATGAAAAACACTTATTCACTAGTTTGAGGGGGAGTATGAGAAAACACTTATTTACAGCTGGTTGTAATATTGTAATTTGTATATTTATATTTGTATCCCTAGAATGAATGATAGAAATTATGATAGATAATCGCTCAATTATAGAATTAGAAAGATTTAGTTTCTCAGTTGACTCACTAGTTACTTATATATAAACCGAATGTACTTGTATAACTTTTTATGAGTAGTTTTTTAATATACATTTAGTTTTATTTTTAGTTTTTCACATAGTTTTATTTTTTAGTTTTTTCACATTAACATATGTATATTTTTAAATAATATTACATTATTTAAAATTAAAAAACAATAATATTAAATTATTTGAAATTAAAATTATTTTAAATATTAACTATTTTGAGATTTGAAAGATAAACTATATTTTCGAAATTATGATATTAACAAGATCATGTTTTTAAGATAAAAACATAGTGGGTGATGAAATTTTATTTTTGAAAATTTAGAATTTTAACAAAGATCACATTTTTAAGATAAGAAATATAATGAACATTGAAACTTAAAATTTTGAAATTATGAAAATTTAACAAAAATCATGTTTTTAAGATAAGAAATGTAGCAGATGTTGAAACTTTATACTCGAAATTCTATAATTTTAACAAAGATCATGTTTTTAAGTTAAGAAATATAGTGGATGTTGAAACTTTATTTTCATAATTTTGAAATTTTAACAAGACTGTTTTTGAGCATAGAAAATGTAGTAGATGTTGAAACTTTATTTTTGAAATTCTAAAATTTTAACAAATATCACTTCTTTAGCATAAAACGTAGTGGATATTAAAACGTTATTTTTACAATTCTAAGATTTTAACAAAAATCTCATTTTGAGCATAAAAAATATTGTAGATGTTGAATTTTTTTTTTAATTCTAAAATTTTTACAAATACACTTTTTTAAAATAAAAATATAGTGAATGTTGCTACTTATAACAAAAATATAATATAATATAATATATCTTTTTTAATATTATTTTATTTAAAATCTAAAATACATTTACTTAATATTATTACATATAAAATTTGTTTCGGGGCAGAAACCTTTGGGAAGGAGTTTACCACCTCCTTCCAACTCCCATGTTAAGCTTACCACGAAAGTTGATTTGCGTATTTTCTTTATATAGAGAAAATCAACATAAGGATAGTAATTAGGATAGTAAAATTATCTTTGTTGAAAATATGAAAAAAATTTTAAAATTCTTTAATTTCAACGAAAATATATTATTCACATGCAACATATTATGAATATCATGTGTTATTTACGTATCATCAAGGATAATAATAGTAAAAGACTTTATTAAAAAAATCTTACATTCTTTTAAATCAAATATTTTATTAGAAAGACTTTATTAAAAAATCTTACATTTCATAGTTCAACAAAACTTAGGAATCACATATTCTCCTTTAATATCAACTTTCATTGAAATCATTTTCTCCCATAAAATCTAAGAATCCACAAATTAAACATCCCATTAGTTGAATTCTCGGCATTTGAGATGTAATTCTTAGGAAAGGATTTAGAGATAGAGAAAAAAGAGATAGAGAGAAAATGTGAGAAAAATAAAATATATTATTGATCATTAAATTATGATCGTATTTTAAACATAGTCATTAATTATTAAATTTTTTAATTTAATCATTAAACTTTAACTAATTATTTTTGTCCCCTAATGGATGGTCTCTAACGATGTATTGAAGTGATATTGTCATGTTAGCTGTTAGATGCTATATGACATTACAATGTTGTCCTATATTTCAAGTAACATTGATGATGTGGTATTATAAATTTTGAAAATTACTAACATAATGGTGTCACATGACATTTAATAGCTTATGTGATATTACCACGTAATAATGATATTAAAGACCGACGATTAGATGACTGAAAACAAATTATTTACTTACCTTTTAGTGTTTAAATTAAAAAATTTAGTAATTTAGTAAACATTTTAAACCTAATTGAGTAATTATTAGTGTAATTTATCCGAATAAATGCCATATCCACATATCCAAATGAGGAGCATGAAAATTTCACATCAGCACTGTTCATGGAACAAAATTTTTTTTTCGTGGTGAATTTTTAATTTTATTACATTTGAGATTGATATTTTAGATTTAAAACAAGTTTAAACAATAAATTTATTTAAATTATTGTACATGAATTAAAATTTGATTTTCTTTTGAGTTCAAGACTGACCAATACAAATATTAATTTCAACAAATAAATGTGAGTAATATTAAAACAAAAAAAGAGAAAATTAATAGTAACATCTAGGGATATCAATATGACACAAGACAGAAAATTTTATGTTTTAACCTAATAGGAATGAGATGAATATTAAATTTCGAAGATGGGATAAAAATATGTATAATTTTAAATTTTTTTAAGGTATGATACGGGGATGGATTATATAATACCCATTCTGTACTTATACTTTATATATATTTAATAAATTAATTTTTTATTTAATAATATAAATTTTATTTTAAATTTATTAGAATTAATATATTTAAATTTTAAAAATACATATTTATAAAAAAATTACTTAAATATATAAGATAAAAATTAAAAATTTAAAAAAATTTAAAATTCATACTTATTAAATATTCATAAAGATGAGAATAAATTTAAAATATCTTTGAATATGAATATATAAGTTGATGTAATATAAAAAATTAGAGATGAAAATGAAAGATGTTCTATTCATTTCATACCCGATTTATATCCTTAGTAACATGAAAAAAATGGCGAGATAAGAAACAAAGATTTAGAATCCATTTGAATGAGCTGTGAAATTAAAAATATCATATACTATTGCCATGAGGGGAAAAAAAAAAAGAAGAAGGGAGAAGCACGGATATAATGGGAATCAAGGCTGCCGTTGAAGATTCAAAATCTTTGTCCGACCTTTGAGCTTCAGGAAAAAAATTGACGGAGCAACACGATGAAAACAACTTCATCACATCACAGTCAAGTGATCCAAATGAAATGTCAGCATGATTGACGGTGCCAACCGCATCACGTCACAACCAACTGGGGATTCAAACGGACCCTTAGAAACAATGTGGACATAGTCGGGGTCATTTTTTTGACAAAAGGTTTGCAACTGTAGACGCCACCTCTTACCTTACCTTACCTTTTCGCCCAACAATGTCGACACTCTTTCGCCCAACAATGTCGACAATCTCTCCATATTGCCTCTAATTTCTCTCATCTATATCTTCCGAACCTTTGCTTGCTATGCCAATGCGGCAACATGTAATTCTTCCTTTAACATCATCATTCAACAACAATACTACCATCATCCTTTGATCTCTTTTTTTTTTTTTTAATTGTGAGAGAGTTTTCACAATCTTTATACGTATATAAGTATAATATAGAGATTCTTCCTTCGTCTTCTTCATTTTGATTTGCCATTTCATATGTCACTGTAAAACTAACAAAAAAAGGAAAACCCTTTCCCTTGTTCCTATTTTTTTATGTATATTGAACACAACACCAGCTTTGCTTTAGATTTTCTCTTCCCATGTTCTTCATTGAGGTTAGCTTCTCCGGGATTCCAAATCCTTTTATTGTCTTGATTTTTGTTTTCTTAATTCAAGGTGTATATTGGGTTTTCCATTTTCTTTTCAGGAGATCTGGCCGCTGCTCTGCCTTGATCGTTTCGGATCAAGGGCTAGGCTTTTCTCAGGTAACTTTCAATACCCTTTTGTTTGTTTTCTCTTTCTGCGGTTGTCGACAGGTGGGAAACGTTTCAAATGAAATAAAATTCGAAAACATTGATTTTTGGGTTTTTGGATTTCATAATTCAACCCAATCGAACTACGAATGTGTCTACTTTTATCAAAGTTATTCAATTGGTTGGAAATTTTATTGGTTTCAATCTTTTTAGAAAATTATATACTTTTGTCAAAATTCTTAACTTGGTTGGAAATTTTATCAGTTTCAAATTTTCCTTTGTTTAATTCAATTCTAACGGATTATTGTTCGATTAAAAAAAAAAACAGATTCCCTTTTGCAGACAATAACCGATTCAATGAGCAACACGAGCTGCCAATACTCGGAGGTAGACGTTTGTCGTGACGAGTCAGCCGCCTTTTTAAAGCTCATAGCCATAGCCTCAATCCTCCTCGCTGGTGTAGCTGGCATTGCTATTCCACTTATTGGCAGGCATCGTAAATTCCTCCGTACAGATGGGAGCCTCTTTGTTGCCGCCAAGGCCTTTGCAGCCGGCGTAATTCTTGCTACTGGCTTCGTCCACATGCTCTCTGATGGTTCCGATGCTCTCTCGGATCCATGCTTACCAAAATACCCTTGGTCAAAGTTCCCATTTTCAGGGTTCTTTGCTATGATTGCTTCTTTGGTTACTTTGCTTGTGGATTTTGTGGGGACTCAGTATTATGAGAGGAAACAAGGTTTGATTAGAGGAAGTACGGAAGAGCAGAGATGGGTCGGGTCGTTGGATGCGGATTCAGAGTCTGGGATTATACAAGTTGTGGATAGGAAGGTTTTTGGGGAAGAGGAAGGTGAGGGCGTGCACATTGTTGGCATGCGTGCGCATGCAGCACATCATCGGCATAGTCATCCACATGGACAAGACGGCTGTGATGGGCTATTGAGGAGTCGTGGACATGGACATGAACATGGAGGTGGGGATGATGATAGCAGAGTGAGGCACGTCATCGTTTCCCAGGTGTGTGTGTGTGTGTGTGTGTTTTTTTTTTTTTTTCTGTACATTGGAACTTGGAAGCAAAGCCTAAAGAAAATTAGAGAAAGAGAATTTACAAATTTTGGGATCGAACCCCAGTCTTGCTGAACTTTTTTTTTTTTCTTTACTTATAACGTGTTGGTTAAGTACTTTACTTTGTCTTTGTTTGTGTGCTGTTTGGAAGTAAATTAGTGCTATTTATTCTGATCGTGCTTGCTTGAGGTGGCTTAAAATTTGCCTTAACGCCCTATGAGAACTTAGTGGAATTTTGTTTTATGTCATATGGGGCCTCCTGTGTGGCTTTCTTTTCCTTCCTATCAAAGGTTTTTGGGGTTGGGAATTGGAGATCTACATAGATTTACGGCTTTGCTGGTTGGTTCTCAAATTGTCAATGGGAAAAAAAAAGATGACAGTTGATGTTAAAAGAGTAACTAATTTTTGCCAAGGAGTCGTCTTCTTTCGACTTAGGCTAACATATCTAATAGTAGAATTCTAGTGGGATGCTTTTCCACTACACCAACAAATGACATATTCCTGTGTCTCTCATTTAGTCTTTGTAGCAGAGATCTGCTCCTTTTTCCTAAAGTTGGGCATTGTTTCACTTAATATGTGCCACAAGATCGAAGTGTTTCTTTTTTCCCGAACAAAATAATGATCGCTAGGGAAAGATTTTGTCCGTATTTCTCTCGGTTCATTCAAAGCTTATTGGAACCTTCTAAGCTTCACCCTTGTGTAACTTTTGGTAATCAATCTTCCATGTCTGGCCGGTGCAAACTGCTGTGTTGAGCTTTAGCCTGGCAGTGATTAACTTTTCTACTACAACAATAAGCATACTAGTCTCTTCCCTTGTCTTTGCCCAGCAAGTAAATTATCCTAATTGTGAATTAGACAAATTGTTCCAACTATTGACTTTGTTGATTTTTTCCATTCAATGCCTGTTTTAATTGCTTTCTAAACTTTATCTTCTTCTAATGAATGGCTGATAAAATTTTGGTCAAAAAGTTGGAGATGTTGATATTTGCATATTTTGTCATAGTTGGAATGTGTACTGCAGGAGGAACTGAAACTGTGGTGAAAATTATTGCAGCCCTTTTTATGTAGCATGTTTAAGAACTGTGCTAATGAAGGCACGTCTCTTTCTATTTTTGCAGATTTTGGAGCTTGGAATTGTGTCACACTCAGTCATCATTGGCCTATCACTGGGTGTTTCCCAGAGTCCATGCACAATAAGACCTCTAATTGCAGCATTATCGTTTCATCAGTTCTTTGAAGGATTTGCACTTGGAGGCTGCATCTCCCAAGCTCATTTCAAAACTCTATCAGCCACAATCATGGCATGTTTTTTTACCATTACAACCCCAGCTGGAATTGGCATTGGGACTGCCATTGCTTCATTCTACAATCCTTACAGCCCAGCGGCTCTGGTTATTGAAGGCATTTTAGACTCTTTGTCAGCTGGAATTCTAGTTTATATGGCTTTAGTAGATCTAATTGCTGCAGATTTTCTGAGTAAGAGGATGAGCTGCAATTTTAGACATCAAGTAGTATCTTACTTCATGCTTTTCCTCGGAGCTGGTTTGATGGCTTCCCTTGCAATCTGGGCCTAAATTTTGCTACAACAGAGGAGTCTGTTTATTATTATTATTATTATTTTTGGAATGCAAGCGGAAATGATAAATTTCTCACTTGTTAATTTCTTCAACGACGGAAAAGAAGGCTGCAGAAAAAGAAGAAAAATATGAAGTAACCTTGGACGGATGATACATTGTAGGCTCCGTACCTTTTTTTCAAGTAGTATTCGATTCAAACCGTTGTCACCTCTAGTCTATGTATGAACAGCAATACCCCAAAAGGAAGGGAATTAATGGTTCAATCCTTCGAACTACTCTTTTTTTCCTTCCTTTTGTTCTTTTTTCCGCACCAAGGTTCTTCCATGAACACTTTGTTACAATAATTAGCTGATATTTATGTTATGTTTGAATAGATATTAATAAAAGAAAGAAAAGAAAAAGAAATGAAAGGTTTTTAAAAGAAAAGAAACGATGCATGTACTTTTTGTTTAGATAATTAAAATTAATAAATGAAAAAAATTTTAACAACTATTATTTGAATAAATAGTGAAAATGAAAAAAAATAATTTATTATAATATTTTTTTCAATTATAACTATTTTTTTATAAACTAACATATAATATATAAATATATTTTTATACTATTAAGTTTGTATAAATAAATCTTTCTAAACAAAATTAAGTATGTTTAATATAGTAAGCTGTATTAGTTAGTTATTAATATACTTTTAATTTTATATTTAATTCAATATTTTAATTTATTCCAATAATAATTTAGTTTGTTTTGTTGTCAAGATTTGAAAAATCATAAAATATTTATAAATTATGATATTATATAAAATACTCATAAAAAAATTATTTTTGTAAAAAATATCTGTTATATAATTAAATCTAATGTCATAATAAAAATATGGATATAATAATCTTTTTATAAAAGTAAAATTTTTTTAACTTTCATTTCTTTAGCCTTTTTTTAAATTAAGGTATTAAAAAATTAAGGATTAAAAAAATAAAAATTATTGAGTTTTCACTTCTTTTCTTTTTTTTTAAATTAAAAATTTAACCAAATAAATTTTTTTTTTCTGTTTTCATTATTTAAAAAATTTTTTTTTTTCTTTTCTTTCCCTCCTTTCAATCCAAACATAGTGTTAGTTCATAGAGTTTTGCTTTTAGACGAAATGATTGGCCTTTCTCTATTATTTTTTATTTAGCAGGAAAAGATTTTTGAATCTAAACCAGTACGTTTTTTTTTGTTTTGGTTTTATCTAAACAAATTTATCTGCATTAAACATAAAAAATTCATAAAAATTATCTTCCCATGGGCTCTCAATGATTTTGACCTAGCTAACGAAGATTGAAGCACATTCTCTTGAGTTAACCATCCGTTAGTGATTGGCCTTAGTTTCTATCTAAACCTGTATTGCTTGAAAATTGGTTTACAGGGAAGGTTTGTGGGCTTGTAATTAAAAAATCTCTTTTTCCCTTCCTTCCTGCATTAAAACCACTAAAAGAAGACGGAAGATCTTTGTTGCTAATTTTGCATGAGCAAGAGAAACCAAAAGACCATAAAGATGCTGAAGTGTGTTAATGGAGGAATCAAAGTAGTGACGGTGGGGCTAGAGTTGTATTTGAGAGGGAAACAGGTCTCTTCTTTAAAGATTGGCTCATTCCTTGTTGTTTAAGAATGATTTCATCGGTAAATAAGATGGCAAGTGTCTTTCATCAAATCCACAGACATAGAGGCAGGAGGTAGCGAAAGTCTGGGGTATAATAGTAAATTTGAGAATAATGTTGAATATGATAATCTGAGAAAGTGGTTTTAGAAGAATGATCCTAATAGTGTTACTGAGACTGTCTAGTTTCCACCCTGTGTGGTGGATACATTTCTGTTCCCCTTGAGTACATAATTTATTAGGACTGATTCAAATTGATAATGGTGGTGGGCTCTGCCAAAACACCAAATAATTTAACCTTCTCAGTGAAGCTCTAATAGGAAAAAGAAATCGTAAACTTGGAAAAGCTAATCCTCGAAAGAAAGCAACTACCAATTTCTAGTACTGTGGTAACTTTCAAGCTCCACCGCTATTCTCAACCGTTGAATTTAAAGCATGCACCACTCCTTGTTATTCCTGCTTTCCATTTTCATTTTTATGCACTAAAGTTTTTTTTTTTTTTAAATATATACAATACAATTTGCATTCTGAAAAAAAAAAATTGAACGTCAAGATTTAATTTTAAATTCATTACATGTCCTTCTTTTAAAAATAAATAAATAAATCAATTAAATTAAACTTTGAATTCATATACTAAAATTTATAAGATAAGAATTTCATTTTCCTGTTAAAAATGATGCGTATGTGAAAATCTTATTGTTGACATGGAAGTTATATTTGAGGTTAATGGAATCTTATCATATTTTATTAAAAAAAATCAAAATTTTAATAATAAATTCATAGTTTAATGCTAATAAAATTTTAAGTTTTAATTTGAGTGCTTCATATTCTGTTAACGCCTTAATCATATATGTGCCAAAAGAAGATGTAAAAAGCAAAGTAAAATCCCCGCTTCTCACAAGAAGCAAAATCTTTCTATTTGGAGTTCAAAAAAATTCAGTCACTCATCAAGCTCCATGCTATAAAAAGTAACAAGGCAGTACTCTCTTGGTTTTTTTTTTTTTTTTGCTACATTTCTTGTATTTAATTTGTTTATTTGTTTGGTAATTGGTCCTACTTCCTAGTATTGAGATTAAATTCAAAATTACATTTTTCAATTGATTTTGTTGTATTCTTTAATCGTACTATATTATTTGTACTCCATATAACACAACTAGATATGTTTACCTAATTAATTTCTTTAATTCATATCTTCATTTGAAAGTAAAAAAAAAAAAAAAAAACTAAATATACTACTTATAAATTAAAACGACTTATCACTTGCTCAGCAAGTGAGCATGATTTTGATGTTTTTAAATTAAAAAATTAAGATAGTCAAGCTTTAAGAATCATGAATTTTGATCAAATTTAATCTTAAAAATTGCTTTAAATTAAAAAAAATACATAAATTAATTTGCAAAGAAATAGAAAAAAACGAAAAGTAAAAATATATTAAAAGGAAAAAGAAAAAGTGGATAGATGTAAGCTCATATTTGTCGATTAATTAATGATAGGGGTAGTCTCGTAAACTTAAAATACAAAATTATATTTTCTTTAAGTAAGGACGATGCCGATTTGGTTTACATTATGTTCGAATCAACTTTTTAAAATATTACATTACGAAAAATTTAAAATTTGATTTAAATTTAAATCAAAATTTTATTTGATTTGAATCAATTCAATTAAAATTTTATAAGTTTGATTTGATTTATTAATTTTTATATATTATTTTATTATAAAAATTAATATATTTAAATAAATTTTGATATAAAATTATTATTTTTATTTTATAAAAATTAAAAATATATATAAAAATTTAAAAAATATATAATTCAATTCATTTTTTTTAAATTTTCAATATTTAATTTAAAATTCAATTTAAACTTAATATATACATTTAATATTTAAATTTAATTTAAATTAAATAAAAAAAATCAATCCAAATCAAATCAAAAATTCGGACTTTCGAATTTCTCTTTTTCTTTTTTTTTTTTTCTCACTTCTACCTCTAGCCAATCCTTGTCCTTTTACCCAACTGAAACACTCCGTTGGCAAAGAATCGGATTCTCTCTTCCTTTAAGCAAAGACAAAAGTCGTGTTCCTTCTTTCTTCTTACTACAAATCTAATCTTCCATCTTCTCGCCACGCCATCTCTCTTACACTTCCATCTTACGTGGCCTCACAGCTTTCTTTTGCCTACTCCTCACTCCTCACGATCTTACTCTCCCCTTTCCCTCTTTCTGTTTATAATATTACTAGTTACTCTCATTCCTTCACTCCCTTCAACTCTCAACACAAAAAAAAAAAAAAAAACAAAGAAAAAAAAAACATAATGATGATGCTAGGAGGAGAAGAATATTCAAAGTCGCCGGAGACTGAACTTCCCGGCTATGTTGCGGGGAAGTTGTACGCCTTGTTGACTGAATCCGACGACGAAAGCGAGTTCTCCAATGAGGGTTTGGTCGAAGAAGAGAAACTAGAGGCGATGATGCAAGAACTTTACAAAGAGATAACAAGCTCTTGTTATAACACTTCACCACCAACGGCAACCTTGATGTCACCGTCATCGTCGTCTTCATCTCCGTTTTCTTTGTCTTGTCTGCCGTTCTTTTCCGTTAGCGACGTTAAGAGTGAGAGCTGTGGGGCTTCAATGTCTGACTCATTGTCCACGGTAATGGCCGGTATTGAGTTAGTGGGGCCCAACAGGAAGTTATCCGACGGAAAGATAGGGTTACCAGAGACCGAAACGGATCACCGGAGAACAATTTATGGGTAATGGGGATGTCGTTTGATTAATTATGATGATAATAATAATAACAATAATGTTGTTGCAGGGGTGTAGAGGGATTGCGAAAAGAGAAAATGAAGGGGAGGTTGGTGATGGCCAGTGGCTGGCAAGAGTTCTAGGGTGGGGTCCAGTGGAACTCGAGGATTTTTTCGATAAACGACTGTCCCTAATAGTTCTCTGCATAGTTTTTTACTTTTCTCTCACGGTAGTTTTTGGTATCTTTTGGTTCCTTGTATTTTTCTTTTTTTTTTTCAAGCTTCTCTTTTGTGCCTTTCAAACAAAACAAAGTAATTAAAAAACCGTAATTTTTTGCATGAATTCTAGCAATGCTGCTCGACTCACTCACCTCGGATTTGGAGTTTATCTCAACTCAAATCCAAGTAAATGTTGAATCCAAAAAATAATCAATGATATGAGCAGTACTATACTGACTTACCTAACTTAATACTAATAATAACTAGTCTTTATTTTTGGGCTTAAAATTTTGGCACCCCAATTGAATTTGTTTTGAAGTACTACTACTAGGCTAATTGTGTTAGAAAGCTAGCTAGGAAATGGTCAATTTGATTCTTCTTGCATGATGCAAAATTTGATGACTATTTCTGTTGAATCACTGGAAATATGTGGGATTTAAATGTCTAGTTTTTGTGAGTATTCGTGCATTATATTCAAGCCTCTCCCTAACTTTCATGTTTTAGGAAGGTGGATGGGTGGGTACTGGGTAGTCTACAAATGCTTGTGTTTGGGGACCTGAGTTATACCAATTTGATCCCCTAATTAAGATCCCCTTACTAAGAATAACAAAAGCTTTTGTAATGCGTTCCACCAAGGATATCATCAGATAATCAGATATCATCATGTGATAGTTATTCGACGCTTAATCAATAAATTATGATCAGAAAACAAACACCTGGGAGCACTTATTGCTTCAATTTCAGGGTAGAAAATCTATCACTAAGAATTTAATAATAATCATAATCCACTCACCACCTTGAAAACAAAAA